ATATAATTAATAAAATTACTAATAATATAAACGAAGAATTCGAATTTCTAATTAAAAATTAGGCTAGCTACCCGATAATATAGTAATGATTACTGCTTAAATAATACTATAGGCGTTATAAAGATTAGTAAGGACGTTTAATATATATTTATTAGTGATATAAATATAAATTGTATTTTAAGAGCTGGTAGTTATGATATAGGAATTAAATAATAATAAGGAAAGGAATAAAAGGATAAAGAACCTACCGGATATCAAGATATAATAGACTTTACTAATAATAATTATATAGAAGGCGTCGATAGAAGTAGGCTTATTACTAGTCTTTAGGTAGGTAATTAAATTTAAAGTATAATATAAGTAAGGAATTTTACGAATAATATTAGTTAGGTTAATATATAAATTAGAAGGATAGGGAAGAAATTATACCGGTTTTAAAGAATTATAAGGTTAGTAAAACTACGAAGGAAGTGGGCGAGGGTTGTAAATTCTAAATATATTAGGGACGTAAGGTTAGGGGACGGTTTAAGGGAAGAAACCTTTATATTGGAGGTTAAGGTGATTGGGTTGGGGCGATAATAATTAAAAGAAGTTATTTTAAATAAGAATTATAATAGGGAAGAAAGAGGATAGGAATTAAAAAGGGGCGCTACGGGGAGGATTATATAAAAGAAGGAGAAGGCCCTTATATTATTATAAATAAAAATAGAACTATAGAATAAAAAATAAAAGGCCGGGGCGGAGGTAATGATAAATAGAATAAGGAGGTAGGGAAATAGAATAACGGACGGGAAGATAAAATAGGGTAGTGGGGAGAAAGCGGAGGAAGGGGCGGTAGATATTAGAATAGAGGGATAATAAAGGGGAGTAGTATTCTAAATTTAAATTTTACTCCTATTATTCTTATTATTTTAATATTAGAATAATATAGTAGTAGGAAAAACGAGATTAATTCGTTATAATAATAGGTAAGAACCGTTATAACTATAAGTAAAGTAAGAGTAGTGTAAAATCTATAACCAAGATGTAGTTGGGGGTTTTTATTTGGCGGCGCTTAACGCCGTACGGTTTTCCCCTCCAAGGAACTAGAGAAGGACCCCATGCCAAAAAGGCACTATAGCTATATAGTATAGGGAACAAGATTATCGTTATTATTATAATATTAATTTAATATTTTAATACTTTATAGGGACTTTTTTTAATTTCCTTTAGAATATCCTTCTTCAAATCGTTGAAATCCTTCTTAGTAATAAATTAATTAGTTCTAACTTTATTAATTTCGAATCGTAGGGACCTACTTTTTTCAATACGTACCTTTGCGAATTCGAAAACCAATTTTCCAGCCTAACGTTGATCTTTAGTCGAAACGGTATTATAGTCCGCAAATTTATTTGCTCTAATAATAAATATTTGTAGTATTTTATTATCTTCTTCTATTTTTTCCGAAATCTTCGTAATAAGTACGGCTTTAGGGTTATTATATATTAAGATTTCCGTAAACGGGTTGTAAATACTATTTTCAAGCCCACGAGTACCGCTATTAATAGCCATTGGCAATAATAATATAATACCGTCGCTATACTCGTCGTAGGATATTGTAAGGGACGTAAACGACCCTCCTTAGTCGATTACCGTTATTAGTTTTCGTTTTAGAGTACTCCTCGATTAGAAATCGGCGTTTCTAGTTTCGGCGTCGTTTTTTTAGGGTATAGAATAGCTACCTATAGTTAATTCCATTGAACGCTCCCTTTAAATCGAGGATTATAAAAAATCTTATAGCCCTAAGCTTCTAAGCTATATATACCGCATCAATAACTACCCGGATTATAAATTCTATTGAACAACCTACCCAATTACCTATTTAACCTTCCAATAGGAGATTGAACTCTTCGGCTACCTATATTAATCTTTTAACTATAAGTATTTTAAGGATTTTTCTAACGTTATTAAATAGTAATATAGGCCTCTATACGCCCGCTAGCCTTTATTAGGCGGCGCTTTTTCTAAATTTTTTAAAAATAACCACTTTCGTATCCTTAAACTACTATAGGAAATACCCAAATTAGAGGCTAACGGATACGAAATATATTATAACTTACCGGAATAATTACCTATATAATTTTAAAAACTTATTTGAATATTAATTAACCCTAGGGGCTTTATTAAGCGCTATCCGGGAGAGTACATTCCAAATGTCCTCTTTAATAATTAATTTACTAATAATTATTAGGTTAATACCCTTTAATAGTTTAATCTATTTTAATAAATAGTTTATAAGAACGTCTACTTTTAAAAAAAAGCGGTTAGTAAAAAATTTCGGCCTTATTACTATATATATATTGTCTTATTATACTAACTAGTTATACTAGTCTACCCAAGAGGTATGCGGTACTGCTTCGTTCGTAGTCTAAGGGAAAAACCGTGTTGTTGAAATCCGGATGAAAACCCTCAGCTTCTCCATATCCAACCCTAACCCTAACCCGAACCCTTCGTCCCACCTCACCTTATAACTATAATTTTCGATTTCTATTACCCTTTTATAAATTTAAAGGGTTAATAATTTGGACGGATTTATTAATTAATATTTTAAGTCCGGACTTACTTTTCTAATAACTAAAATTAATTTAGGTTCTTTAAAGCTTTTATAATACCTTCGTACTGTATAAATTACTATCTTTTTATTATTATCTTCTTCTTCTTTATTATAATTCTAATAAAATCCCTCTAATTGAATACTATCTAATATCCGAACTATATCCAATATATCCGCCGTACTTCCTTTATTACTATTTTACATCCTAATATCTATTAATTTACTCTTCTCCCTCGACCTTTCTTCTTCTATAGGACGAATTCCTCCGTAATATTCATAAATTCCCTATGGAGCCTATAAAAAGCGAATTTAATATCTTCCGCTATATTAATCCTTTCTAAAACGGAAATCCGTTTTTCTACCACTTCTTTTACTTTTATTATATCCATAAAATTCTAATTATATCCTTCTTCTTTTTCTACTTTTCTATTCCTTTTTCCTAATTAAACTTAAACTTCCTAAAAGTAATAGTCCGAACCGATTTATTTATACTGTTACACTCCCTAATATTTAATTTTAACCCCGGGTAATAATTATATATAATTAATTATTCTATCCCTTTTTCCTTATATTACATTCTTAAATTTTATTAGTTCGCTACAAAAAATAAATAAATTAAATTTCTAATGTTATACCTATGTAAAGAGGCGAATAACTTCCAGGGTAATTCTATTCTTTAAATTCTAATTATAATAATAGAAGTTAAAATTTCCAATTATAATTTAATTTCCTACCGGAGGATTAGTCTCGAAGAATTCGAAAAACGGCGACCCTTATTAGTATTTTAATATTCTTTATATTAAAATAAGGGAATAAATAGAATAAACGGTTGTTAAATCCCTCCGGTTTTTAAATGTTATTCCGGCCCAATTTTTCCCGGATTAAAAATTTAGGTTTTTCAAATCCCACTTTTTATTTATATATATTACTACCCTTCCCCCTTTAAATAATCAACCCTAAAATACCTCCCGCCTTTCGGATAATAAATATCCCTATTTAAATTCCTACCCAATTCCTAAATTATTATAACGTTATAAATCTCCTTTTATTCGAATAAAAATTTCCCTCTCTTATATAATTTCCCTATATTCTAATAGAGTATTCTTTATTAAATTATTAATTACCCTAGGATAAGGTTCCTTCTAATCTTATAATATAAAATAAAAATATTACTTCCCTAAGGGGGGACTACAGTTATATAAGAATTATTATTATTATACGTCCAATTCCCCCCTATATTCTATAAGCGTAGGTAATAGGTATTAATTAGACCCTATAGGGTTAAAGGTTTCAATTGGGAGGTTTAACCGATAATTTCCTTCGGCTATCCTCTCTTTACGCTTCCTATGAATTATTTTTCTAAAGTAATAATAATATAAAAGCTAAGGGGAGTATCCGGCAGAATGCCCTTATCTATAGACTCTATCGTCGGCTCTAATACCTTCCTAAGAGGGTTTTTATAAGGGGCGAACACTTACGGCCTCTTAATATATACAACGGACGTCTTCGTAATAACCTTCTAAAAAATAGGATACTCTTTATAACTATAAATAAAATATCCCTTCTTCCTATATAATTTATAATAGATAAATAATTAATTTTCGTTAAATAAATAATTTATTTTACTAAAGTAATTTCTTTTATATTTAATTTTATTATATTAAGTATAAAATCTTCCTAACAATAAAAATTCGCTATATATTTGATCCCCCAATATCTATAATATTATTGAATATTGTTCGAATTTTAAAATAGTTCGTACAAATATACGCTACTATCTTAAAAGAAGAAATTATCCTAAAGGAAGTATACTACTAACGTAATAATAATTTCTAGAAAGAGCAAACCCCTATTTTCTCCGTTTCTTCTCTTCTATAACCGAACTCTAATAATAACTACCTCTGAATTTCCTTCCCTCGCCACATTTATTAGAATTTCCACTATAGTATGATTATTAATATTAGTCTAGGGTACACTTCGGACTAATATATTTATAACATCGTCTTCCGGGTAGCCCGGCATATTTTACTAAAGCGCAGCTATTAGAGGTCTAGAGCTGGATTATTCTAAGTAAATTTCAACAGTTTGGCAGCCTAGAAGAAATACAAAGCTGGATTATTCCAAGCAAAAACTTAATAATTTGACAGCCTACTATAAATGCAAGGCTGGATTATTCTATACTATAAATGTATAGCTGGATTACTCTAAGTAAAAGCTCAACAATTTGGCAGCCTACCATAAATCCAAGGCTGGATTACTCTAAGTAAAAACTTGATAATTTAGCAGCTTACTATAAATGTAAAGCTAGACTATTCTATATTATGAATGTAAAGCCGGAAAACTCTAAGTAAAAACTCCATATTTTAATTACCTATTTGAGTATAATATTAACTATTTATTTATTGAGCTTTATTATTATTATTATTATTATTAAGACGCCCATACATTCAGAGCTCGAGCGTTGTCGTGGGCCGAAAGGTGACATAGAAGATCCGTACCAAAGGTCGTGGTCCATAGGCCCACCCAACGCCGCAAGCGAGGAAGGCGCGGCGTATCTATCTATAATGGGCCAGAATGTAAAAAAAATGGTCACTCTATAATCCGTACGTTTTGTCTTAGCAATCTCAAAAGGGAAAACTTAGCACCAAGCAGGACACGGTTTGAATAGCAGAGCGAAAAAGCCACTTTTTCACAATAGAGATTGCTCCGCGACCGCTGCGTATATCAAAATACACCTAGTGCCGGAATGACGAGAAAGAAAAGGCGGTCATTTTGGTACCGGTTGTATTGTGGTGTACGCGATGGTTATTGAGAAAAAAGCAAAAGAAATTAAAAATAAAGATTTTGGTTGCGACCGTGAGGTCCTAGAAATAACTAAGTCCTAGAAATGACTAGGTCCCAACCCTGGAAATTCAGGGGGGTTAGGGTTAGGGTTGAAAATCGAAAATTCAAGTAAAGAGAAAAAAAAATCAAAATTTTGCCTTTGAGTTTTTTTTTTTTTTTTTTTTTTTTTTCTTAAGGTTAGTAATATTAAGAAGAAAATCCATCTACTTATTCAAGAAACTATTTAAGCTTTATAGCTCAATGGTTATTATTAGTGTTACTTTTTATAAAGGTTATCTGTTCAGTTCAGCTTTGAGTTTTTTTTTTTTTTTTTTTTTTTTTTTTTTTTTTTTTTTTTTTACTATATATTAAGTAATTCATAAGGGCGTCTCTCTGTCTCCCCTGGACTTCGGCTCCGCCCAGGGGAACTGTATTTTTATTTTTATCATTATTATTATTATTATTATTTTTATTAATATTATTTTTATTATTATTATTATTATTATTATTATTATTATTATTATTATTATTATTATTATTATTATTATTATTATTAATATTATTATTATTATTATTATTATTATTATTATTATTATTATTATTATTCTTGATAGAATAGGTTTTTTTTAACGATTTTACTCCTCATGTTTTTTTTTAATTCTTTTTTTTTTTTTTCCATTTATTCTATTTATTCCAACCAGGGGGCTTCGCCCCCCGGGACCCCCCATTAAAAGAGTTAGAGTTAAGAGAAAGAAACCCGGGGGACACCCCCGGGGACCCCTATTGGAAGGGTTAGGGTTAAATAAGACCCGGGGGATATCCCCGGGGACCCCCGTCGAGTGTACGGGCTATAATAATTCTAATCAATCCAAGGACCGGATAGTTCAAATAACTAACCAATCCAAGGAAAGGATTACAGGATTGACGGACCACTTATAGGACGAAGAACTTACAGGGGTCTCGTACCATTAGAAAGAAGCTCCGCTATGCTCGCTTACTTCGTGTAAATATTTAATTCTCTGACTATAACAGCTGCGCTTCAAATATTTATAATAATAAAAGTATCCGGACCGAAAACTTCTTTAATTTATATTTAATTCTACTAATACTAATTATATATAAATTTATTAAATATAATTATATAGTCTTTTATTATTAATATTCTAATGATTATACGGACTATTAAATTAAATTTCTTTTTACCCAAATTTATAGTTAGGGTTGTCTTTGTATTTTTATTCGAATAATTCATTAACTTAATAATAATCGTCGCTCCCTTAATCATAAATTACTATTCAAAATTAAAAGGGGTAAACTTCTTAATGATAATAATAGGTAATTATTAAAAGGTAATACTAATTTTACTTAGGATAGTTTTCGCTACAATATTAGCCTAACGCTTTAGTACCTCCTAAGCGCCTTCCTTAATCTCTTTTAGAATATCCTTCTTTAAATTATTAAAATCCTTCTTAGTAACAAATTAATCGGTTCTAACCTTATTAAGTTCAATTCGTAGGGACCCGCTTTTTTTAACGCGTGCCTTTACGAATTCGAGAAATAATTCTCGAACCTAGTATTAATCTTTAATCGAAATAATATTATATGCTATAAATTTATTCGCTCTAATAATAAATATTTTTATTATTTTATTATCTTCTCTTATTTTTTCTAAAATTTTTACAGTAAATATAGCTTTAGGGTCGTTATATATTAAAATTTCCGTAAGCGGGTTATAAACGCTATTTTCGAACCTACGAATACTATTATTAATAACTATCAATAACAATAATACAACACTATCGCTACGTTCGTTATAGGATATTGTGAGGGATATAAATAATCCTCTTAAGTCGATTGCCGTTGTTAGTTTTCGTTTTGGAGTACTCCTCGACTAGAAATCGGCGTTTCCGGTTTCGGCGCCGTTTATAATATTATATAGCTATTATAAATAATAATATAAAAGTAATTATTTTTAAAGAAAACTAGAAAAAATACCGCCTAATAAAGGTTAACGCGTATATAGAAGGCTATATCGCTATTTAATAACGTTAGAAAAATCCTTAAAGTATTTATAGTTAGAAGATTAATATAGGTAGTTAAAAAGTTCAATCTCCTACTAGAGGGCTAAATAGGCAATTAGGTAGGCTATTTAATAGAATTTACAATCCGGGTAATTACTAATATAATGTATATAGTTTAGAAGTTCGGGGTTGTAACGTCCCTTATATTCTTCGATTTGAAGGGAATATTCAATAGAATTAACTATAAGTAACTACTATATACCCTATAAAAAGTACAATTCCTAATATAAATTATTGAATACATAATTAATTTTATTATTAATAGAAAAAGTTCCCTCCTTTTTAATAATAAAATATCCCGCCCTTATACTATTACTGTAAATATACCCTAAAATCCCCCCCTCTCTCTTATTCTATTTATTCTCTTTATTACCCTATTATATTAAAAATTGATTATAATCCCGAATATAATTATAATTAACTCTATAAATAATATTAATATTATTATAATAGCGCGTATTATAAAAAAGAATTACTAGACTTTATAAATAATATAGGAAATATATTTGAGACGCCCATGCATTCAGAGCTCGAGCGTTGTCGTAGGCCGAAAGGTAACATAGAAGATCCGCACTAAAGGTCGTAGTCTATAGGCCCACCCAACGTAAGCGAGGAAGGCGCGGCGTATCTATTTATAATAGGCCAGAATGCAGAAAATTACCCGTCTTGGCAATCCCAAATAGGAAAACTTGGCGCTAAGCAGGATACGGTTTAAATAGCAGAGTGAAAAAACTACTTTTTGCATTGCAATGGAGATGCATCTACGACTGTCGCGTGCATCAAAGTGTATATGGTGTCAAAATAACGAGAAAGAAAAGGCGGTCATTTTGGTACCGGTTGTAATGTGGTGTACGCCCTGGTTGTTGAGAGAAATGCAAAAGAAGTTAAAAATGAGGATTTTGGTTGCGACCGTAGCTTAGAAATGACCAAGTCCCAGAAATGACCAAGTCCCAGAAATGACTAAGTCCTAGAAATGACCAAGTCCCAACCCTGGAGATCCAAGGGGGGTTAGGGTTAGGGTTAAAAGTCGAAAATTCAAATAAAGAGAAAAAAAATCAAAAAGAAAATTCAAAATTTTGCCTTTGAGTTTTTTTTTTTTTTTTTTCTTTTTTTTTGTTTTTTCTCGGGGTTAGTGATATTAAGAAGGAAATCCATTTACTTATTCAAGAAACTATTTGAGCTTTATAGCTCAATGGTTATTATTAGTATTACTTTTTATAAAGGTTATTTGTTTAGTTCAGCTTTGAGTTCTTTTTTTTTTCTTTTTGTTAATTGAAAAAAAAAGCATTAGATAATTTCTAAGGCGCCTCTCTGTCTCCCCTGGATTTTGGCTCCGCCCAGGGGAACTTCATTTTATAATTATACAAATCTTTAAATATCTCCTAAAGTACCGTATTATCTATTATTGTACTATCGCTAATAATTTTAATTAATAGGATAGAAATGTTAAAACTAATATTAAAGCGTACAATTTAGGAATCACTAACCGGATAAATATTCTAGCGGGAGGCAGAATATATAGAAAGTACAAGAACCTTAGGAATAACCAGAGGAAAATATCCACTATTATTCGGCGGAACAAACAATAACTTTAATTATTCGGCCCATCTCTCATTCGCCTAAATCCAATTAATTAACTCTTCGGAATTCAGTTATAAAACTTAACTAGAAATATAATAATTAATAACCAATAGCAGTATATATTCGCAAAGATGAATAGGAAATTAATTAATATTATTAAATAAGGATTACTAATCAACATAATTAAAACAAAGATTTTTCATTTAATTAATTAAATTAGCAGTATTATACAAGTCCTTAACGCTAATTATAACAATTTCGCCAATAGGGCTAACAAAACCTCTAAAGCGCTAATTACAATAAAGGATTGAATTTTTATAAGATTGGACGGTAATGCGTTTCGCAGCAGTAAGCGCTAAAAGACCGAAACCGGGCTTTATACTATTTTAAACCAAATATATTATATTACAAACTAATCATTTAAAATAAAATAGAGGATCCAAGAATCCACCTCCGGTCTTTACAATATATCTAATAAAATATACAACATTTTAATTTTATTTAACAAAGTATACCGAGAAATTATTAATAAAAATAATTCCTAAATACTAATTTACTTATCCTTACTACTTCCGCACTAAACGTAATAGAATATCAGCTTATACGAAATTTCTAAAGTATTTAATAGCAAAATTGGTAGTTAATTATTAAATAAGGCTATTAGCAATTTCAATAATTAAATTTACTCGCACAACTATTAACTCAATTAGTAAAAAGGGTCGCTAAATCGAACTTAACTAAATATATTATTCTACAAACGTAAATAATATGGAAAGTAGTATAGGGACTTACGCTGGGTCGATAAAAGTTAATATATCAATTATCCTAATAATCTCCAAAAAGGTCGCTAATAAGGAATAAACACTGATACTACCCGTACTAAAAAGAATTAATACCTAAACAACAGTATTAATAACAATATTACTCGCCTTAACATAGGCTATGAACTATTTCTAATTTTTCTTCCGCAACTATAATAATACTCCTTCTTTAATAAGGAACAGCCAAATTTAACATATTAAAACCGGATAATTCACAACCAACTAACAATATCTATATGAAATCCATTAAACTTCACAATTTACCGTATCCAAATTAATAATCCATTCCTTATTATAAATATTATTATCAGTATTAGCGGCCCAATCAAGTTCAATTTCGATTTAACCGATTTCTACATTCAAACGCAACTAGGCTGCCTCGGTAAACAACTCAGCGGCTAAAGGTTAAAATCTTTCCTCATAGTAAAACTACGGCTCGTATATAATAAATTCAGTAATTTAATATATTTTATATATCAAATTTTCCTCCTAAAGGGTAAAGGCTTCGTAAAGGTTTATTTAATCAATCTTCAATATTATTCAATTTAACCTTTAGACCTAAATAAATAATAACAAAATAGTAAAGAAAAGAGGATTCTAAAGAGTAAAAATACAAATACTTAGTCCGAAAGGGCAAGAGTTGAACAATAATTAAAAAGTCTAATAAATTGTTATCAAATTTAACGTATCTCCCCCCTTAACGAAAGAAAAAGACGTAAAGAATAATAAGGTCGGTTTAAAACTGAGCTATAGGCACCACTTATTATACGAAGATGTACTTTATAAGTAATAATAATAAAGAAAGATAAAATAAGTAATTAATTACTAGATAGAGCAATAGTGTGTAACAATTAACGATAATCTTATTAAAGGAAGCTAAAAATAAGAGCTATCGCGAACTTTAACCTAAGACCTCGCACATAACTTCACTAAATATAAGCAAAATAGCTATAAAATTAGTATAATATAAATTAATAATCCGTCAACCTTAATAGAGGTTGATAGGACGAGCAGTCTTATATAGCAGACTATGCGCTCTAGTAAGCGGTTGCCATAACAAGACAGAGCATCTAGGTATCCACCCAGAATGCCCCATAACATATATTATGATTATTAGCTTTTGGAATACGACTTATATTTATACTACTAGTATATATTGAATATCCCCGCCGGCCTTTAGAATACCCGTAATATTATGTAAATAATAATTATTATTATACTATTGGGTAGTTAGCCTAGTTTTAATTAAAGATTAAAATCCTTCGTTCGTATTATTAATAATTTTGCTAATTATATATATATACGTCTAGAGTATAGCGATTTACCTACTAATATTTATATTCTTCCCCGCCCTTTATACTTTAATATCGCCGACCTTTAGTAGAAGGGTTACTATAAATTAATTGTAAGGGATATATATTATAGTCGCACCCCCTCCCTCCTTAAAAGTAGCGTTATAGACCTGGTCCGATTTATTTCCGGCTTTAGTAGTAGTATTATTACTCCTATACGTATTATATCCGGTAGTAGCGTTATTACTACTTTGATTTATATAGTCTCCGGAATTAATAGTAATAGTTCTATGCCTAGTAGCCTAATAATTAGTAATACCCTTAATTACTATACCCTAAATAAAGATTAGGTTTAATAGCGCTATAAGGTTACTACAAATTAAATTTATATAATGATACTATTCGAATAATTCTTTAAGTACAATTAAATGCTTCGTTAGGTGGCACTTCGGTTCTTACTATAATCGTAATTTAAGTAGTACCTATAATTAGCATAATTATTCCTTCTTTATCCCTATATCTTATTATTTTAGTATTACTAATCTTTTATTCCCTTTTTAAAAATATTTTATAAATTCCTTATACTACTCCTCTTCTAATTCAACCGCTAAATAATATTCCTTTAACCTCCCCAACTTTAACGCCTAAGAAAGAATTTTCTTAATTTTAATTCTATTATCTAAATATTGTTAGAGTTCTTCCTTTATTAATAGCTCATTTTCGGAGTCCGATTGAAAGAGAATATCCATATTAAAGTAATTTAGAACTATATAGGTGAAGGTCTTCTTTTCGAGTCTATATATATAAATAAGTATTAGGATGTCCGGTATTTTCCTCCAGTAGAGGAAAACCTAAAGGTTAATAACTTTTATCCTAATTTAAATTAGGAGGAAATTCTTCGATTTAGTTAATAGGTATAATTCGTTATTTTCATTCTCCAATATCCGTTAGTTTCCCTTTTTTTTCTTTATATTAATTATATATTATTCAATAACTTATATGTTAAATTTAAGGGTAAAGTTAGTAATAGTAGATTTATACCGCTAATTTCATATAATTACTATTATTATTAAATAGTGGTTATAGTATAATATTTATTTTCGATTTATTATATTCTTTCATTATTCTTCTCGGTCGGCGGCTATTAATTTTAGGATTTATAATAATAGCAATTAAGTCTTTAATTCCGAAGGGGGACCCGCTATTATTACTAATAATTTCTCTATTAGTATTTATATTTCGGCCTACCGAACTTTAACTACACTATTTTTTAATTTATTAACGGGTGGTTAACCTTTAGTCCGTCGGGTTTAAATATAATTAGTAACTTAAATTATAATTCCCCGGACGAATTTAGCTTAATCCGTCTTAGCGAACCTCTCTTCGAAGGTTCGGACCCTTTTATTAAAATAGAGGTCAAACAGCGGATAAAAGGTTTCTATCTTTAAATTTTATATTAGTGTAGCTTTATACGCTCCGGTAATAATTTTTAAATATTTAGTTTAGTACTTTGTTATTTTTAATTATTATTCTTTGTAATTTCTTATAAATTTTAGTTAATTAGTAGAATATTAAAATTTTATATATAATAGTACTACGAATATATTTAATATATATTTCCTCCGCCCAAATAAAGGAGTAACCCTACGTCTTCGCTATTGATTCTATTAATATATTCGTTTAAATCTTTATTTTTTATTTTATTACTTTTATATAAATCCTATAATTAAATTTACAATTTACTTAAACCCTTAGGACTTTTATAGATTTTATTAGGCAAAGTATTACATTTCCGAGTTAGAGAGTTTCCGTCCTTAGTACCTTCGTTCGTATAAAATGTATTAGTTCCGTCTTATTCGTTTCGAATTCTATACCTCTTATTTTTACTTATTCTAAATATATTTCCTATATTACCTATAAGGTCCGGCAATTCTCTTCTATTGTATATACTATTATAATAATATTAATAATATTTATAAAGCTAATTGTAACTATATTTAGGATGATAATCAATTTTTAATATAGTAGGGTATTAAAGAGAATAAATAGAATAGAAGAGAAGGGGTAGCTTTAGAATATATTTATAGTAATAATGTAGGGGC